CCCCAAAACCCCAAAACCCCAAAACCCCAAAACCCCAGAATAAGAATTTTTGATTGAAGCTTTATATCTGAGATTTTTAGGGAAAATATGGAGTGAAGATTTTAGGTTATATTTTCAGGGTTTTCTGTAGAATTGCTATTAGCAATCACTGATTTTAACCAAGCTTCATTTGAGCTCTACATAAATTGTTAATTTAGTAAATGTAGGAAAAGTTTTGTTAATCAAAACCTAAGTTAATGCTTACTGGATCCTCACTCATTTTTCTATAGAAGCATTCATAAGACAAATTGATATTAAAATTTTTAATCTGAAGCTCTTTTCCATAAATTAACTGAAACCATCCAAAAATCCACTTAAAAACTGAAAATCATTAATCTTCTTACCTCTCAAGTTCCTTTCTCTGTTTCTCACTATTCATTCTTAACATTTTTTCAATAACAGATATCAACAGGTCCTAAATCCTTGAACAGGCCAGCCTTACCTCCTTGATTTCATTAGTCATAGTGTTGTATCTTCCTAGAGATAAATTAATCAAGATACTGTATTTTTTAAGAGCTTTTGTATTTAAGAGTTTATCTCTGATCATTTCACACATTTTGCGATGTTCATTAAAATCTTCAAAATCTCTATTAAACTCATCCCATTCTTCTTTTATTTTTTCAAGTTCCTCTTTAAACTTTTCGATAAAGAGTATATTCTATAGCTCATAAAATTGCAACTTAAATAACTCCTACCACTACTTCTCTTCCTGAGGCTTTATTAATGTTTTCCTTTGTCTCTGTGAGTTTCGAATTTACTTGATCCTCTTTTTGTTCCTCTTTTTGTTCCTCTTTTTGTTCCTCTTTTTGTTCCTCTTTTTGTTTCTTTTTCCTCTCTTCTTTTGCTTTATTTTTCAGAATGTTTTCTTTTCTTTCCTTTTCTTTTCTTTTCTTTTCTTCACTTTTCTTCCCTTTTCTTCCCTGACTTCCATTATTTCCTATGGGTAAGAAGAGTCAACTTACCTTGTTGATTTCTTATTATTTTTATTCTAAGAAGTTCACTCTTCGTTGCTGGAAAGAATTTAGATATAATAATTAGATATCAAAGAATTTTAAAAGAAGGACCATTAAGAATAAGAATATTCTATAGGTATCATCTATTTTATGCCAAAAACTGTATCAAACAATACTACGATAAAAATCGAAAATACACCTAAATTTCCTAAAAATCCTCAAATTTTCATCCAAGCCCATCTGTTCCTCCTATGTTCTCTTTTATATCTTATCAACCCCCTAGACCCCAGTCCTGTTTACCTTTCGTCTTACCTCTGGATCCACTTCCTTGACTATCCCTCTTCTGCTTTTGAACTGGGGTATCTTCCTTCTTGAGGAAGTTAAGGTTTCTCTTAACAGAGCTTACAGAAGAAGTTCTGCTTTTGCTTCCGACCTGTATAAAGGTATGTAAGGCCCTCCCTGTGGGGCAGGGAGGGGCTTTAGTTAGAAGGAAGACAGAGTTAAGAGAATGGATGGAAAGAGTACCTTTTGTTCTTCATCTGTAGATTCAAACTCTTCGTGTGTTTCCTTACCAGTGTTTGATAACAGATCTGAATCTTCTAAATTTTCATCATGTACAGAGGGGTAGCTATGATGAATTTTGTAGCTAGAGTTTGATTTACTCTTGCTTGCTGGAGTAAGGAGGCCACTATCTTTTCCTTTTGGTGTACAACTGTCTTTCCTAGCTAGACTCCCAAAGTTAATATTAGGGATAGGCTCTTCAATGTTTTTAGGTAAATCTTTTATTCCTTTATTAACCACTAAATCAGAGTTAGAGCATATCTTACCTTCCCATATCTTTTTAACTTGCTCATCGGTAGGCCTACTTTTTCTGCAACAATCGTCTAAAGACTGTAAAGCAGTTTCTAAGTGCTTGATCCTTCTCTCAAACTCATCAGGAGGAGCTTGGTGATTGGAAATATCTCTCTTATGCATGGCTTTGCGATTTGAGATCCTAACAGCAGAGTAATTGGTTCTCCTGACTCTTTTTATTGTTGAATTTGATTGGTTTTGGGCTCAATTCTTTCCTCTGATAAGGAAAAAAGGAGATCTTCCTTTCTTTGCTAAGTGAATGTCCTCTAGGCTCCTGTCAACTCTTGGAGAATTGCCTATCTTTCTTTTACGAAATTTTATGCAACTGTAAATTCATCTTTTGTTGAAAATTTTATGAGGAGGATTTTGATGCCCCGAAACATTTGGGTAGTCTGATTTCAGGATATGATTATTTCATTCTTTTCTCCTCTTCTTTCCGGACTAAAGGAGTAAGTATTACGCCAGAAAGGCAAGTCACTGTGAAAGATAGAGATGTGAGATCAATAACTCCCTGAGAGTCAGGAAAGGGCTTGTTTAAAGAGCTAAATATTCCTTAAGTAGCAAATAAGTTAAGAAAATTGTATGTGTTGTCTTGGCCAAATGTGACAAATAGTAAAAAGAATATTTTCTTCAAGATGAAGAACCTTTGCATAAGAGAGTCTAAACTTCTTAGGAAGATATTGTGTTTTACTCCCTTTGCCCTATAGCTATACTCAACAGAAGCAAAGAAGAAGAACAATATTTTGAAAAGTCAGATTTTGTTTAAAATTTCTTACTTTGGCTTATTTCTGTACAATATCTTATTGCTTCCTGATAGGTCCCCATTTCAGATGCTCTCTGAGTCTATACAAAATAGATGATAGGACTGGAATATCCTTTCCATTCATCATGAAGCTCAAAGTTTGATTTCTTCTCTCTTCAGAATAGCCAAAACTTCGAGACGATAAAAATAAATCAAGAAAGGAATGCACAAATGATGGAAGTAGTACTTTCAGCCTTTATAGATCAGAAGGGTTTAAATAGGCGCAGTCAATGAGAGTTAACTAGTATCAATAGGGTTTTACAGATAATTGATCTAAGATAGACGGCTTGACTTACATTGTCTGTTGATTTGTTGTTTTTACGCAGCCTGATCTTTGAAGAATGACGATGTCTATGATGTAAGAGCGATGTAGGGAGTTTAAATTATAATTCGAATAGAAGTAGTAATCAATTAGTGTATCTTACTTCTTAGATCTCTCTACTTGCATGCGATTTATTATTTGAGAAACACTAATTAAAGGTTAAAGTATACTCAATTAAGATCAGAAATATTTTTGATTTCGTAACCAAGATAAACTCAAAATGACGTATTAAGACCCCAAAGTTCAATGAAAGGTATAAATATTTCAACTTCACTTACTTCACTTCCTTAAATCTCTTTGAATGCCCACTAAAAGTCATATTAAATTCTTTTTCAATCTTCATAATCTTTTTCCCTGACTTCTTTTGATAAAAACCTCTCTGAGTCTTATTCTGCAGAACTTCTTCTCTCCCACTCTTAATCAATCCGCTCATCTTTATTATGATATATTCTCAGGTTCGCAGATTAAGTAGGGGTTTTGGGGTTTTGGGGTTTTGGGGTTTTGGGG